AAGTTCCGTACCGTAAGATTACGGCGCCGTAACGGGTCTTACGGAGATGCAGTGGACAAAACGAGGATTGATAATGCAAGTCGCCTAAATCTATTTCATGTGAATGCGCATGCGTAGACGAGGCCGGCTTAGCAGTTCCGAACAAGCCTAGGAGTAAGACGGACGGAATTTGCAAAGGAGACGAGTGGTAAATGCAAATCAAATGCTACTCTCTCAGCGGTCCGATTGGATCCGAGCCACAAGAAATGAGTTTAACAACTATTTGAGCTATCGTGGAGTGCATCACAGCAAATGTTTCCGCCACAATTCCAAAGAAGCAGTTCAGCACCAACCGGAAAGTCGTAAGGTCTTCCCGTAACCGTAAACTGCTTACGTTATGCACGCCGTAATGTAAACCGTAAGGAAACGTTACGCTGCCCATCTATATACGCTAGGAAGGGGTGGACGTGAGGTTATGGGCAAAGCTTGATAGTCAGTGTGGACTATATTGGAAACGGTAATCCTGAAGTGATTTATGGCAACTGGGAATGCGTCGCGTTTAGGGGCCATGATCGTGAGTGAGATGATTCTACTATGGATAAACCTCAATCTCGATCAATAAAGCTAAAAACGAGTACAAGTCGGCGGCAGCATGACAGAAGGAGACTCCAGTCTTCGGCGTTCCACCCGTGGCACGGAGACTAGGTACTCCTCGGAGTGCGGTCCTGGGTACTGCGGGGAGAATAACCGTTATTCTTCCTGTGGAGATAGATTATTCCTCCTTCCTGGGAGCTTCATCGTGGGAATAGCTTTCAGAATAAAGTCCGCTAAACACGTGGCGAGCACCGCCACGTGCAACCTGGAATCTCGATGGAGCATCTCTATTATCCAGCAGTGTCGATTGGTATTATTGACAAAATATCATTCCGTTATTCCCCAATATGGAAAGCCCTTCACCTGAGCTTACCTGGTAATCGTTAACGATGGTAAGAGCTTCCTTAATGGGTGTAGGTCGCCTGCAGCCCTCCTTGCTGAGGATAAAGTTCTCGTGGAGGCAGAGGACGACGAATGCCTAAACGATTCCTTCGAAGCGGTTAGTAGCCGAGCCGCCCACTTGGAAGTCCTTCAACTTGGGCTCAGAAGCTGGGAACTCCCCCAACAGCACACTGCACTCAGTCTGAGATATCGATGGAGGCCCTCGGGCAGACTTCCGACATCGACGAAGATCTACGCCGGCAAACGGTGCTCACTACAGCGGATGGCTAGCGTACCCTTCTCGGGAGTATTAGGAGTCATGAGATACAGCCAACGGTCAGGCGCCTCGAGAGTGGTCCTCCATAGGAGCAGATCACAAAGGAGAAGCTGGGATGGAGAAATAGGATCGACCAAGGGAGGACTCTGAACGTCTACTTTTCGAATAGGAAATTCCCTGAGGTCCAATGCAAACCGTGTTGCGAAGATAAGAGAATCCAGCAAGGACCGGTCCTCGTCATCCACCCCTTCATAAGAAGACTACATACGAGAGAGTATTGGTAAAAATAGTCGCCTGTTGTTGAATATCTCCTACCGTCACAGCAGAGATGCTGGGCCCTGCACGAGCTGATCCCACGAGGCACTCTTCCAAGAAATCCAATCGATGCAAGTTGAAGAGAAGACAGACGTATATGACGTTGAAACAACAACGGAGCTCGCGAGCCAGGAGTAACTCGCAACTGAGAGATAACATGAGCCTATTCACCAGTAAATGGAACCACTCACGGGCGCGGTACCTCCGATAGATACCCGTGGTCTCGCTT